GCTGCACAGGGCTAACAGGACCAGGACTAGGACAAGGTTCCAGCTGCACAGGGCTAACAGGACCAGGACTAGGACAAGGTTCCGGCTGCACAGGGCTAACAGGACCAGGACTAGGTTCCTGCTGTACAGGGCTAACATGACTAGGACTAGGTTGCTGCTGTACTGGACCAGCAGGACAAAGAGTCAGCTCTGGCTCCAAAGGGCTAGCAGGACCCACAGCTTGATTACAACCTGAATTTACAAGGCCATTAACAGGACTTTTATCAGGGCTTCTGTGTGCAGAGCTAACATGAGTGGAGACTGTTTGAGGGTAACTAACCTGTGAGGGGGCGGAGCATGTGGGCTGAGAAGGGGTTCTACTGGTGTGGCTCGTGCTAGGCATCGCAGTGTTATCCTGAGTGGCACTAGAATGGACTGGGCTAGCATGGCTCGGACTAGCCTGAGTGAATATAGCATCAATTGGAGTATCTGGTCTTCGATACGAAGGGCTTAGCCAGGCATAGCTTTGTTGGCTTTTGACTGGAGACCTGTCTGGGGCAGAGTGAGGATCAGCTGGTGACTGTCTAACCTGAATCAGACAAGCCTGACTGGGGCTTACAGCAGATGATTCATCAGGTAAGCAACTGGCAGATGTTGGGCTTGTCTGTCTAATACAGTTTGTAGTTTTAACAAGACCAGGATCAAGCCAAACCACACTGGATTGAACAGAGTCCTGGAGTGTGGGACTGGCCATCATGTCCACAGCAAGACTCGTCAAAGTGGGGCTGGGTTGTGCCCCAGTAAGGCCAGTACTGGTTCCAGTGTCGGGAGCTGTACAGTGAAGGGGGCTACTTGTAGGGCTACGATATGTTTCACTGGCCTGAGCTGGACTGTGGAAGGGGCTAACACAAGTGACAGTAGCATGTGCAGGGCTGCTGTTTATTGTGCAAGCTAATGAGGGAGTCTGTGTTTGCAATGGGCCTGAGTGGGCAACTACTATGTGAACAGGACTAGCTTGACCAGCAGGACTAGACCTACTTGGACTGTGAATGACACTAACATCAGTTATACTCGCAGAGCGGGGACTTGCCTGGCCTCTAAGGTCTGAGGTAATGGTGCTCAGACTGTGGCTAACAGGGCTACTAGCTGGGCCAGGATCAGTCAGTGTACAGTGTGGAGGACTACAGTTAGTTGGAGTTGTCTGCCCCGGGGCAGTCTGTGAAGGACTCCAGGTAGTTTGGACATGTGAGGGACTTGACTGACCATGATGTGTCAGACTTTGGCTTGTCTGAGTCTGTGCAAGCTCTGCAAAACTACAAACAGAAGTTTTCTCCTGAGCATGCACAGAGCCAGTCAGGACGCAGCCACTGTTGGCTTCCGTGTGAGCTGGGGTCACATGAGTGGGGTTGTCAAGATGATTGGAACTAGTTTCTACCCGATTAATATCACTTTGGTGGCCAACAGCTCCCTCCATCTCCTCATCCTGACATGAAGTGGGGTGAACGGGTCTAGCCAGTACAGCTGAGGAGCTAGCTGGTCCCGTTAAGGATCTAACAGATGATGCCAAAGGGCTGATTGGTTGCGTTAGCGTTACAAGGCTAGCTGATTGTGTTGAGGGGCTCATCTCAGCAGTTAAAGGGCTAACAGGGGCAGGGCTAGTCTCCACTGGCATGGGGCTAGCACAGCCCCGCAGAGAGGTGGTTGGGCTTGTAGGTATTTGACAAGCATGTGTGGTGCTAGCACGACCTGAGCTAGCTGGGATATGTGTGGGGCCAGCTTTATCAATAGCTTCTGTGCAGAGCGACATGGTGTCACTAGGACTCTGGTGGTGAATGTTGCTAGCTGGGGGAGAATTTCCCTCCGTTTCATCAGCATAAGGTGAGCAAGTTAGGCTACTGTGTTTGACTGAAGTACTAATGTGAACAAGGCTTTCTGGTGTCTGGACAGCAGGGACATGAAGGGGGTGAGTGTGTTCAGGAGCAAGCGTGGGACTCTCTGCACCGTAGTTCTCAGGGGGCATTGTGGACGGGTCAGAGATGGGGCTAAGAGGGGCCGGGCTACCTTCCAGTGCTTGGTCAACAATGTTAAAATTACGTTGCATAGGGCTATGCTCCAAGTACTTCAGCTCCTGGGTACTGGTTTGGGTGCATTCTATTGTGACCGCTGGCAGTGCATCAACCTCAACAGGAGGTATGCTAAGCTGCAATGGCCTTTCATCCAGTGTAGAGTGGGCCTGTACTGGGCTAGCAGGCTGTGGCAGACTACACTGTCTGGGTTTGACTGGGAATGGGGATGGGCTACATGGAGCTGAGATGGGCCTCAGTGTGGCATGTCCTGTTGCTATCTTGGCAGACCTACAGTAGACTAGTGAGAGGTCCTGGTCCAGTGTAGAAATGTCCTGTGCAGCCCTGCATTGCATATGAGATGGGCCGCTTGACCCAGGGCTCTCCTGGTCCAGTGTAGGTTCAGCATCCTGTGTGAGACTCTGGGGAGGTGATGTGCCAACATGTACAGGACTATGCGGAGTAAGACTGTGCCGAGGCTGTGAGACGATCGTGTCAGTAGGACTAAATGATCTGTTGAGCTGTGTTGTGTCGTCCTGTGCAGGATTGCATTGTGCAGGGCTGTGCTGAGGCTCTGCCAGCCCTTCTTGAACCCTGGTAGGACTAAGCCCTGTGTTGGTCAGACTATGTGGTAGAGGGCTATGAGGAGGATGTGCAAACATACAAGATATGGGACTACCCAGCGCTGGACTCTGCTGCGACTCTGTGGCCATAGGTTGATCCTCTGTGGAATTCTGGGAAGGGCTCAAACATGGGAAACTAAGCTGATGAGGACTTTGCTGGGCCTGCGTAGGAGTCACATGGGTAGGGCTTTGGTACAGCTCAGCAGGACCAGGAGGGGAGGGCCTTGGACTTGTTTCAAGTTCTGTAGAACCAGAATGAGACTGTGTAGGGCTTGGTTGAAGCTTTCCTGGACTATGGTGAGGTGGGGTGTGGCTTTTCTGGTGTTCCGTAAAATCAGGGTGAGATGGTGAGGAACATCCCAGGAGCTCTGTGGGATCAGCGTGAGATTGGTCAGGTCTTTCTTGGAGCTCCTTTTGACTGGAATGAGTTGCTGTTGAAATCTGTTGTTGAACCTCTGTGACAGATGGTGGAGAATTTTGTTTGAGTTCTGTGTGCAGTGGTACAGGACTTTGTTGGAGTTCTGTGGGAGAGGGTGTAGGACTTTCTTGGAGCTCTGTGGGAGATGGTAC